TACCTACGCCTTAGAGGATTGGCTAGGTGATCAATCTAAAACCTACCAAGCCTAAAAGCCCCCCTTCCACGACAAAAAGAATCAAGCACACCTAATAGTTCAAAAAGCTATGCATTTTTTGAAGCAACATGCTTTTGAAAAGGAGAGCATAATTAAAGTAGTAATCTATGCTTTAAGGATCGTTGAATTAAACTGTGATGAGATCAAACGTACATCAATATTTGATCATGTTAGACAATTATCATTCAAATTTAAGAAACCATATTATGATGAATTACCACCCATCTAGGAATATTAAACATAGCATTAATTAGATTCATGAACTCATTCTATGGTAATTCATCTTCCTAGCAAAATAGAATTCCTCTCGCGAGTCTAACTCCTGCATTTGTGAGAAGGATGTTCAATAACTTCAATTAGCTCCAAATCATGACAACAAAAATTGATTGCAATGAAGAAAACCTAACTACTACTGAAGTCTCACCCACTCTCGCTAACAACTACAAATGTTATGTTGTAGAGGAAAAAACACAGAAGGGGAATTTACATAAATTGCACACAATTCTTATGTATTTACATATCTCACACCTAAACTTTAATATTTACATACATAGCACTCAAATGTTTAATATCACATAAAAAATAGCACTATTAACACTTTTTCAAAGTTAAATCCATGTTTTCATGCATAAATTTAAAGCAACAAGTTGGCATGTATATAAATATAGAAGTTTAGATATGAAAACGTAAATAAATAAGAATTAGGTGCTACGTATGTAAATTTGCCAACATAAAAGTAGAACTGAACCATATAGAAAGAAAATGAACAGAAGGGTTGTGGGTGAAAAAACGGGATTAAATTTCTATGCACCTCCATGTCAGGGTGAATATGTAGACCCTTTGCCGTCACATTATCATGAATGTCCTGAACCAGCATCCACACATGTTTTAAACCCTCCACCTTATTATGAAATTGTTGAAGCATTAAGCGAAATAATCCCTCATTTGTCATAAATATCTGGAGCTTTCTGAGCTCGGAAAGAAGCTCAGCTGACTGGTTTTCTGAATTACCCTGAGTTTTGGAGAGCTCCTCAGCTGACTGGTTTTCTGAATTACCCTGAGTTTTAGAGAGCTCCATCAATTCAGCTAATTTGGCATTTAAAGCACTAATCTCAAGATTTTTTTTTGATACAATTATATTCTTTTCTGAATCAAGTGCAGAAAGTTTATCTTCTGCAAATAATAACTCATCTTCCAGAGATTTCATGGCTGCATGAGCACCAGCTAGGTTGCTTGCCTGCATGAAGCTTTCCTCTCTTGCTTTGTGTAACTCTTCTTCAACTTTAGTTTTACTAACTTCGATGGTGTTCTTTTCATCATAAATATCATGAATAAGTTCTTCTTTATTGTGTAAATCCATCTCTAGTGACTTCAGAGTCTCAAGAGCTTCAGCTAACTCGTTAGAATTCAAATCAGCATTTATTTTTACTTTCTCTAGCTCCTGTTCTAAGTTAGCATTAGCAATTTCTCTTTCATTGATCCGCCTCGCAATCCATTCAACCTTCTCTATAGGAGCTTCAAAAATTTTGTCAGTATGGACAGCGATATCATTGATAGAATCAACTAATCTTTTCAAGGTTTGTTTGCTTTCATTCAAAAAATGTTCAGTCTGCTCTTTTTCATCTTTCAAGGAAGCAACTTTGACCTCCAGCTTTTGAACCTGTTCTGGGTAAGCAGAAAGACTCTTAATTCGTTCCCTGTATTCACAGATTTTGGACTCCTGAAGCTGTAAATCTTCCTTCAGCTTCTCAATTTCAGAACTTTTCTCAGCCAGAGCAAATTTAAATCCTTCACGTTCTTGCACCAATCCCTTTCCTTTCTTCACAGCCATAGAAAGTTTGTCCCTGATGAGAGAGTTTTTCTCCTCAAGTCGCTCTAGTTCAAGTTTCATGGATTCCTTCTCGTTTTTCAAAGCATAAATTTCCTTCAATGCTGTCCCTAATTCCTCAGACAGACTTGTCATCTTCAATCCATCCATTAGCAGTTCTTCAACAATTTTCTCAAATAATGTCAGTTCAACAGAAGTTACATGCAATAATTTTTGCATGTTTTCCAGCTTCCAATGATCATTCAAGGATAATTTCATCTTTTCCCTGAGATAAACAATGGATTTCTCCAACATTGCATCCGTGTCAACAGAAAGCTGATCATCCAGCTTGGTTTCAGTTACCTCTTTTAGAAATTCTAAAAATCTTTCCTTTTCAGATGAAATTACTGCCAGGTTTTCTGCAAAATTTTTATGATCGACCTTGAGTTCTTCAAGCTTAATTAAAAGATGATCTCAACTTCTTTGAGTTTACTCTGCAGCTTACTAACTTCATCCTTAGATTGAGTGAAAGATCTCACAAGCCACTCAACTTGAGAATCTAATTCAGTTGTTGATGAAACAGCTTCTAGCGCACCAACAGAAAAAAAAACATCTTTGGCTCTCTGATGTTCCTTTAAAATCTCAGCGGATATACGTGCTTTTGTTACAAGCCACCTAATTTTATCCACGATATCCAAGGAAATGAGATCATGAGGGAAATCAATATCATGAGTACTCTCCTCTATGTCCTTTAGGGCCTTATCTCTACTTGAGGCCAATTCCTGCAAAGAACTAACCAAGTTTTGAGTATTCAATGCAAAAAAGGTTTTCTCCTGCAACTCGAGCAGGGATTTCTCAATTTCAATGTCTCTCTCAGCTAATGCTTGCTTCAAAGCATCGCTGTTTCGTTTGAGATCAAACAAACACTTCTCAAGCTCACAGTTCTTCTCAGTAAAAAACTGTAAATCTTTTGATTTCTGTTGCAAATCCAGAAGGCAATTCTCCAGCTGATCTTTGTTCTCAGCTAACAGCTGCTTTAACTCCTCAGAATTTCTATTTTCCATATTAAAAGCATCAGATTTCAGTTGCAGCTCAAGCAAACATTCGTCGAGCTCACTCGTCTTCTCTTGTAACGACTGCTTCAGTTCTTCG